GGATTGCTTGTGGAATCTGTCCTATAATGATGTGAAACATATCGCTGTTGTGCTTACAGTATCATGTCCTACCAGGACAAATACAGCAAACATTTGACTGTATGGTACAGGTAAGCCAATGTTATATATACTAATAACAATCATATAGTGATGGTATGAAGTACCTGAAGCGCTATGTAGGCGTAGGTAGGCATGGTGTTTGCATGTGGTTTCATATCTCTGAATATTTTGATGGAAATTCTATATTTTCAAAAAACTTCTAACCAATCTGTTTTTCATTTTACTATAAAACCAAAACAAGGAGAAAATTCCTTACCGACAATCCTAAATCACTAAGTCTTGTTTATACATTTTTTATTTTACCTACAAAATTTCACAAACAAAACACAGAATAATTAAAAAAAGAACAACAACAAACATTTGTTTTATACTAAGATAAACATTCTACAGAGGAAAATAAATTATGATGACTGTGTAATTTTCAAGTAAAGGAAAGGGGATGTTCATTGCTTACTGTAAACAAAAATACAAAAACCCCTTACACTGCTGGAATAAAAAGTCACCATTTTAAGTACAGTCTCAGACCACAGGCACGAGTATCGGACCTGGGAAGAAAAAATATGACCAGATTGATAAAATAACCTGTGTTCATCTTAAAAGTGTCAAAAAAAAAAAAAAAAAAGAGTAAATAATGAACCCCTTTAAAAATATACAATAAGTTAAGAGAAGGCCGGAAACTCAAGATTCGAGCCTACGAGCACGGTATTCATTTTCCGGGCCGTTGTGAAAACAATTGGCCACACAATTAAAATTTTTTTTATCACTATTAACGTTTGTATTAAGCTTCCAAATGAGACCGACCCCAAGTCTTTAGCCCTTCCCGTTCATGAAATATCTATCAGGAAACGAGAGAATTTGTGCTAAAAATCCTTGGTAGACAAAATTGCGGCACAACGATTCGGTACGTCAACATAGACTAATACATGTTTGTCAGCTGAGTATGGGTCAAAATCACTTGAATTTACTAAATAATATTAATAAATACATTAAGTTGGACCACTCACAACCGTCAGTAGCATCTGACACATGCGAAATTCGAATTTCAAACCTTTCCACGGCCTTTAGATTCCTTTCTATGCCATTGTCAATCAGCTGTTTCGATATTTTGTAACGAGTCTTCTGATTGGCCAATAGCAACGAAACCGCAACGTTTCACACAATGATGCCTAATGCCGTAGAAAGCGATTGAAAGACCATGTAACTTATAGTATATTTTTAAAGGGGGTCATTATTTACATTTTTTTTGGTTTTTGACACTTTTAAGATGAACACAGGTTATTTTATCAATCTGGTCATATTTTTTCTTCCCAGTCCGATACTCGTGCCTGTGGCTTGAATGTCACAATCCATTTTAACAACCAGGCCATCTCTCACCTTTAAGGATTCGCTCCTATTTGAACTTTTTTAATACCCGGTAGTTCTTTTTTTTTTCTTGAAGGGGTTTACATATGGGTACTTTCCAGCTTTACTGGTGGAAGGAGCCCCTCTATGCATTATTTTAGGCATGAACGGGTACCTGAATACAGACTTCCCGAAAGTTGAAAAAAACTGTCAGACATTCGGTCTGACAAACCATGAAAATCTGTCGGACCGAAACGAAATCTGTCGGACCAAATAAAATTGATCAAAATCAAAGAATAACTTGTGTTTGTATTTCTAAGACACTTTTTGTTTCTAATTTTTTCGCCGTAAAAATCGGCACATTCCTTACAGCGCATTTTCATCTCCTCCCTATCATACACCAACGATTCACTGTCTTGCTTCTATTTTTCATTAAATTTTGTCTCAGGTCTATTATTTTTATCCTTTTACTGCTGTTCTGCCTGTTCCTCTGACGTAGATTTTTAATTTTTCCAAGGTTTGTCACCTTTAGCGATGCCATTTTGTATACATGCGGCTTGGATAAAAGCCGGACAGTCGGACCGATCCGGAGTTAAAACTCGTCGGACCTGATCAAAATTTATCGGACATGTCCGTCGGACCGACGTATTTCGGGAAGTCTGCTGAATACATTAACAACTTGCATTCCGTAAGCTAGCTGGACATTTTCTGCACATTAAAGAATCCAAAGTCCCTGGCCAGATTTGAACCCACAGTCATGAGCGGGGAAGCGGTTTAAAGTCAAGGACCTTGAAACACAACCACAGACGCCCCTCAAAGTTTTTATACAAAAATTTTGAAGACTCTGACATATAATGACTTTGAAGGGGCCGCATTGAAGCCTTATAAATACAGCAATGTTCCACACCATCATAACATTTTAGAGATATTGTTTTCATTAACAGTAAAAGTTAAGTTAAATGTGTCTACACCATACATTAAAACATACCTGATACAAGAAGTGACCTTTTATTCACAGTGTGCAAGGAAGCGCTTATATTTCACACGTTTCATATTGTAAAAAGACTATGTTAGAAATCACAAGCATTGATTGATGTGTGAGGGCCAAGAAGACATTGAACAGATAAAAATTGAATAGTTTATTTAAATTATTAAATTATTTAATTTTATATCCCCTAGATAGATTTTTTTAAATGACCAACAATAAAGATGATATCATAATTCGAAGAGCAAACCAAATTGAAAACATGCCCTTCCTAGAGATTTCACTAAACAGTTTACCCATGCCATAAAAGGCCTAATTGTTAAATTGGGTAAATTACACACCTTTCATAAAGACAGGTGTATTCAGTACACTATTTGTGAAACAATACCCCCAGGTACATAATAAGAATATTGTTAAATATCAGTAGACGCTACCCTAGAGCAATCATTTTTATCTGCACAGAAAATTACTATAGAAGTATGTTTAATATTCACCATTTATATACTGGAACGCATCAGGAATGTGAAAGTAACACGAAGAAGTGTGCAAAAGTGACGCAGAATTGTTCAATTTAAGCATGTTGTAACAGGGTTGCCAGAAATGGGACATAGTTACTTTTCAGCAAATCAAACTGAAAGGAAATGAGTTAGCACCAACAGCTGCTAATCAAGACACCATACATGTACTTTATAACTAAATCTTTTCACAAAAAAATTTCCTAGATCAATCTTGAAAATGACAACTTGGCTAACTTATTAGACAACTTTTCTGTTATATCTTATATTAACTAGTGCAATAATGCATTGTTTTTTTTCCGTATACATTTACAAGACTTGTGTCATTCTAAGTCTCAAAGGAAGTATATGTAGGTAATATGCGATTCAACAACTTTTCATGAGGTAACCAATATGCTTCATTCACAAATTCAGTGTAACCTCATCAGAAAAACAGAATCACAATTTAATCAGCTGATTTCAGAATCATATGATAAAAAGTCTCCTATAATATATTAGTGTAGCCAGGTGATATCATTTTCATGAATGACCTAGAAAACAAAAACTTTTCTACAAATTTTCAAATCATGAGCATTATATATCAGAACCCTGCCTATATCGTAGGTTGAGACCTAGGACCTTAAAATGAGCATTGTATCAGGGCGCCAGTGTATTTATGGACCAATGAAATGTTGCAGAACAAAATACAACAACAATGGATGTTAATTTAGTAACGAAGCTACACAAATGCAATATTCTACTTATCACATACCCAAAATAAGAACTGTTTTAATATGCGCATATTATTATGTAACACTTAAAAAGAAAGAAAAAATTATTAAAGCATCACTATGTAAAAGATTTTTATTTGTTTTAATTATGAAATTTCTATCTTATCTTGGGCATTTATATATTATATTGGGAATGACCCTAAAAATGGCAGCTAGGGGAGGTACATTATATAACAAATATAGTACAACAATGTTTAACTATCAAGCTCTAGAAGCTATGGAGACAAGTCTAAGCCATCACAACAAAATCATGCAAGCCTGCATGCCGTAACATTAGGAATGGCTAGGCTCTCTCTATGTTTAGCTAGCTTACAACATACAGAATTTGTTAGGTCAAAGAAATGTAAATACAGCAGGGAAAGGTTTACAACACTTGGAAGTTGGAACATTATATAAGAGATTAAAGAAAGAAATAGAATTATTGAAGGTGTGGCAACAGTATAATAAATGGAATGTGGAATTCGCTGCAGCAACAAATACTCAAGTTTATATATATAGTATTTAACCACACAAAATTGCAGCATGGAAAACCACAGAGCATGCCCGACTATGCTTACAATTCACCTTTAGCAAAAACCTATTAACTGTTTGAAAATATAATACTATATCAGATAACGGGATATACATTCCATAAAAATTATTTACAAATCTCCTTCTTTAGTGCAAGATCCATAAAATTCAATGATCCCTAGTGAGTTAGAAAGGTGCTGCAATATCAGTACAACTCTCAGACATTTATAGACGAACCAACTTAACCAAACAAAAAACTAAACTAGTAATTTCCAACAAGGTTTCAAGAAATTTACATTTTATCAACTTTGTTTACAAATATAAGGCATAATTAATCTCCTGCAATAATATCAAACATTTTTTCTTCTTTCGTGTACATGTATGTAAATATAATGGCTCAAATTTTATGTTTTTTAACCACCTTAAATTTTTTTAAGTTAAAATGAAATAGAATTGGTTAAATTTTTCACTACAAAATGTGTGTCAGTGTAAATGGCACATGGTCAGGCTAAATAAACATTGAAGGAATGACAGAGAGAGTCTGAATGATCACCACAACTGCAACTAAATTTACTGACAATTTAAAAAGCAAGATCTTTACATACAAAAAGTGTTCAACTACGTGACATTTTGCATGTTGAAGACCAAGCTGAAGTTCTTTGTTCTGTAACAGGGATATTTCTGTATCAGAATTCAACCATCAATCATACTGTGGCCAATAAAGACTTAAATCTTTCATACGTTGTTAAGATAACTATACTAAGATCATTATAATGTTATATGACATATCAAAATTCTTTACTTTCTTTTATTAATTACCTCAGAAGTTCCTGGTGCCAGATGCTGTAACATGGCTTTGCTAATTTCTGTAGTAGAACCATCCTGAGATGACTCTAGACTTGAATTCCCTGAATCAGTTTTGTAAGGTTTCAATGTTTCTCGAATCTCATTCAAAGCTTTTGTTTTGTAACTATTTTGCTTCTTTGTTTGAGCAGTAGTATTAGGTTTTGTCAATCCAGGTGCACTCCCAGACGAAACACTGTCATGCCGAGTCTGTATTCCATGAATATCCGGTGATTCACGAGCTTTTGTTACATTATTGTTATTTTGCCCGGTTCCTGTAGTTCTTGACAGACTGTCACGTAAGGACTTTAAGATTTCTCTCTTTTCATCTTGCAAGACAAGAGGCCGACGAGGCTCTTGCCTTTTTCGTCCGTTTATCATGTGTGATTGTCGGCCGAAAAATCACAATATTCATAGAATATATTTTGCCTTAAGACAATTAAATCCAGATTACACATGAAATATATATAAATATGTAGCTCTTCACAAGATATGTATATAATATCACTACATTTTCTCTATGTTTATGAAAATATTTAATATTGTTGTTTTTGTTTTAAATATCACTTGTTTAATAAGAAAGACAATAGATGCTCAGCCATTCTGTGCTTTATGTTGGATCTGACTGCCTCATACACATTTTGGATTTTTTTCACTACAGTATCCAATTTTTTTTCTGCAAATATAAAATTAAATACAAAACTTTCATTTGTATGCATTCACAAATTTACACCACTGCAGCATTACATGAATTTAAATGTAAATATTAAACTTCTTTAAACTGAAACGAGAAGCTTGTATTGTAAATACTAGAAAGATACAGCTCCAACCTGTAATGCTTCATTGTTATTTAAAACAAAAACATAACATTATATGTCTAATGAGTAATAAGCTATTGATTGATAAACAAAACCAAAAATTGAAGAACATAATTATATAGAACCCTTGTGTACATGCATTAACTTCATGTGTACTATAATTGTGATTCTTAGAATTATGTAACAAATAGTTTCCATTAAATATGATTCATAACGTTTTAGATTAAGATATGTTTTCTGCAACAGGTAGTCGCAAATTTAAATTTTACACATGTCCAAATATTTCAACTTCTATGCTATGCATGGGTTTTTTTGTTTTACTTAAATATTTGTATCATAAAAACTGGCAGTATATTGCTTTGAATTTGATTCATACTTTTGTTCAGTGTCATCAAATAATCTATAAACGGTTATATACAAGCGAAAATTCTTCAGTTTGACAACTTAAACATTATTCACCGAACCAAAAAGTGAAATATAGAAATGTGGACAAATGATTTAAGTAAAGGGAGTCATATTCTTTGTGAAACATTCCAATTAGTACATACAGGTATAGTAATTGCGGGCACCTGTCTAGGCTATTGTGACCCGAAGTACAGATTTTGGTGGCTAAATTCTCGTCAGGAAGTTATGGATCAAAACCATTATTATAATAAATACAAATGGAAATATATGTAGAGGCTAAAAGAACATATTTCATTCACAATTAATACATTAATACAGCAGTAACTTATTCCTCAATGTTGAACGGTATTATCCGAATCCGCCATGTTGTTTTTCGGTGATCTACTTTTCATGCGTTACAGCACACGTAAACCACTGGTTGCTAAATTAACGGACGAAATTTCAAATAAGACTCGCATGTTAATCCGAAACTTAAATCCAAGAAAATGATCTGTAAATCCTCATAAACATACCGAAAATTCTGAATAAACCTGCTCTTACATACACTGGCAAAAAACGTACACAACACAACCGGGTACTTTACATTACGATTTAAAAGTACGGGGGTGTCAGGTCTAAATTGTGTAATCCGAGAATGGAATGTTTAACATTTTGTGTTTATTATGAAACATTGACCATTAAAAATACTAAAATATATACAATTTACAAAATGTTATTTAATAGGTAAAACAAACAAATTACTGACAACCATGCGAAAAAATCAGCATATCACAACATTACAACTTCGCCCTTACAATAATGGTTTAGTCCTTTGGATGCCAGGTTATCCTTTTGATTGACATATGTTACGCCCATCGGGCTACATTGTTGACATTCCAAAGTGGTCACGTGATAAACAATAGTGTATTGCAAACACGTGGTCAATTAATTTTCAATCAAACTGGACTTTCTTGCTAACAAGGGAAATATCCCTACATAAAACATAAACTTTTCGGATAAAGTAAATGAAATAACGTTGATAAATATTGATAGCAATTTTACGAAGGTAAAAGTAATTACAGTTGGATGGATAAAGTATGTAGTAGATAAGATTTAATTAAATCACACGCGCGGTTAAGGCGGGAATGTATATAGACTACAGGCCCTGAAAATATGTCGATCATTAATTATAGTATCATACTATAAATCATACCATCATCTGATAGTGATGGAAAATGCCAAAAAATGCATTATCGCATCGTCATTTATCACTTTCATGTGATGCTAATACGATTTATTTTAGTTTTGAATGAACTTTTTTTAATTATATAATAATAAGCTCTAGCGCCGATATCCTTAAATATGGAAAATTATCGATTGTGTTACATAATTAATAACATTGCATTTCGATTTTGTTTTTAAATTATAACTTTTAATGTAGTAGCATGCCTCCAGATTCAATGTATTTAAAAATAAAATATTGTTAAGAGATTAACACATTGCAAACACTTACAATTCATATATATTGCCAAAAAAGGTCAAAATATACAAAATAGGTCTTACCACGTTAGTCACGCAGTAGAAATATAGTGATAAATTCTGCAAAATAAGTCAATAATCGCACATAACACTTAGAGCATTATTTTAATATTTTTATTTTTATTAATATCTTAGAACACTTTTCTCAAGTTGATTTTCTTGAAATATTTTGGCTTATCTGGAGGCATGCAGCTTTTAGAAAATCGGATAGTTGAAGGGAACGAAAGTTGCAAATTTTATATTTTATCTTCTATGGGGACGTTCATTATTTTATTCCAGGCGACATTTACAATTTCGCATCGTCTGACCCTGTGTGGGCAAATAATTCACCAGCAATATAAGCGCAAAAGAGTATTCTCCCTTATTTAAATGGAGACAGTTATCTGATAAATAATTTCAAATCATTGTTTTTAAAAACAGAAAAGCCACAAACTTATCATTTTCACTCTTTTCATTGCATTTATCGTGTCTAAAAAATATATAATCATTTAATAGGTACAGAACATACGTTTACTTTTATCTTATTTCAATTTTACGTGGATAAGTATTCTGGACGCTGATCGACGTGTTCTCAGCTAGTATATTTTACAAAAAGGGATAATTCTTAAATGAAAAGTAATTCCATGTTTTATATAAATAGGAAGTTTTCTTTTTAAAGTAAATCATATTTCTAGACAGAGTACACATGTATTTGTTTGTGAATCACCAAACAATTGGCTTTACAGCTTCGTGTGTGACATATTCTTGACTAACACACGGCGATTTCCTAGCTGGCCATGCAACTATGTGAGCTACAGCCAATAAACAAAACGAGGTAAAGAGCCGATAATCTGTAATTTCTTTGTTCCATATATGTTTGCCAGGTTAATTTAAGCTACAAAACTAATGCACAGAACTTTTGAGTTCCGCTGCTTGTAAAAGCTAACTCATACTTATACCCTTAAGTAAATACGGAGCCCTGGACTGTTGATCTTTTCTATTCAGAAACATACTTTTTGCAGGAAGTGTTGCAAGACAGTAAAAGTATTTATTATGTAAATTAATCGATTTGTATTATTGTTACTTTAAAGTAAATGAGATATCAAGGCTGATGCCAATACGCACTTACAGGAGAATTGCAAAAAAGTCGTTCCTATGAAAGCTGTCCCAGTAAGTCACGGACAGCAGTATTTAAATACAGAATGATTACGTTATTTGACAATATGTCAACTTTAAACTTTTCAAAGGATCATCTCTGTGAGAGATTCATTTTAAATGTCAAATCACCTGACGCATATGGCCTCTTATTTGTTATACAGTCAAAAAATACTGAGATACTGTGAACTGTTGGGTGTCTGTTAACATTTCGTTTTTCTCCCTTGACTACTGTCATCCTATTTTTACAATACTTTTATCGCCGGTCTTATATTTCTTATGGCACTTGTATACCAACGATCGCAAAACATATCGATACTTTTCCATGACTTTTTCTTTAACATAACCAAAGAATGGCATTTGACATTACATTCTGTTGCGACCGCGTCAGCGTCAAGCGTCGCCATTTTTATTGTTCTTATAGGATCACTGTATGTCCTTGATAGTGAGACATACGGATACAGTAAATGTCATAACATTCGGCAGATTTCTTACTACTTACTCTGTTTTGAAGACAATTTGTTCAAACCGGTATTACCGTAACTAATGGTTTGATATATTTTTTTTGAATAATGTTTCTTAATGTACTTCAAATTTATGGAGATACACAAGGGCAAAATTATTAAGGCTCGGGAATACTGTTTTTTTTCACGACTTTGCGGGACAACCCTCGTAGTAATAGCAACATTGGTCTTATTTCAAATTTGGAAACCTAATTGGTCACTTTGTCACATTGTGTAGAAGTTTTAGTAATTAAAGTTCTATTTTGTTTACCTCAGTGGGCATACTGGGTTGTAAGACAATGTCAAGCCCTATTTCAGTCTCCTCTACAGAGAACTGATCTGAACACTATTAGAATATTTACCTTAAATCTAGATAAGTGACACCTTCAGCAGACAATACTGAGATTACTTAAGACCTAGCGTACACCAGAGTAGACTTCACCCAATTGTATTAATGTGGGTTGAAAAACGCTAACGGTGGGTTAAATTTAACCAACGTTTATACAATAAGGTGCTGGTAGCTAAATGGAAAGCTTCTTCTTAATGATATCGCAAGTCCCTGCTTGGATTTGTACAAACAGCAGTGAGGGCAAGTGGTTCCAAACCAGAAACACAACCAATGAGCACGGGTTTGTCCAGAAGGACGAAGCTTCCAATTTTTTATTGAAAATTCATCAACAATGTTAGTATCTGATTCGTATGACTAACGAAAACTGAAGTGGGTCAATAGTGTACATGGTTGCTTCTACAGTAATATACTGATTTACTGTTGCCTTGGTGCACCCTGATACACTAACTCCTTTTAACTATTTGTGTACATGTATGCATTAATGTTTAATGAAATCAAAACATGAAATAGTTATTATAAGACCAAATTCATTTATAACGGCAATAATTAACTATGGAAATAATTTATCAAACAACTCACAATGATTTTCAATATTTTAATGACAAAATGTGTCTGAATTGCTAACATTTTTCATAATACATGTATCATGCACAGACAAATATACAACTGGTAAGAATCAGTCTTAAAATGAGTGCAATAAAATGACACTAAAAATATCTTGCTAAATGTAAAATATACCATTGACAACATGCCTTAAGTGAACCAAGTTTTAAGTTTCAAAATAATGTACATGTATATCCATTTATATGGTTGGAATATAGAAAGGAATGAAATTGTACCATATTCTTTCTAAGCAGTATAAGTGACTAAAGCAATTAAAATGAAATCTAAACTGATCACAAAGGGAAATAACTCATTCAAACTAAAATCGAAAAAATGATCATTGTGTTGACAGATAATTAAAGGCATCTTTACATTTGTCATTAATTATAAGAATCTTATATGCAAATAGTAGCAAATACAGCCTGATACACAAACAGTAAATTTGCAATTATATCATATTAAATTAATTAAATAACTTAGTAAAATTCATGGAGGAAACATAAGTAGAAAATGTCTCCTGTCATTAAAAGGGTTCAGTTGAAAATAGCACTTATCATCACACATTTAGGTCTACACATAATGCACTATTACACAAACAAAATTCATTTATACAAAATTGAAAGACATGTCTATTAAAAATGAACACTTTAATTAGATGGGAGATATAAACCCACATACTGTTTTTCCCCTCACAATTGTAGCTAATAAATTATTACAATATGTAAATGTAAATGAAAAGTCTAACATAAAAGAATCCCAGGCGGGATTTGAACCTACATATGTGATTCAACGTCAGTAACCTTCACCACTCTGCCACTGACGCCCCTACTTATAAATGACCGTTCTGATTTCTTCCTAAATCATAAATACAAAAATGTAATATATAGACACTTGATACACATATTTTTTCTATTCAGTTCAGTAAGAATTGGTTTAAACCAATATTGAAACTAGTATAAAAGAAAAAAAAAATGATCACTGTGTCAAATCATTAGTTTTATATGACTAATATAACATGAATCATGATGGTCCCAATTACACACTAGTTTTGATAATGTGTATTAACATTGAACTGTTAACTAACATTATTCAACTGTAAACTTTAAATGTGCCATGACTTCAATTAAGTTAATAACAATTGTGATTTGCCATGAATCTAGTGATAGAAATAGCACTAATGATGTGCTTAAATTTGTATATACAGTCAACATTATGGTATAATAAAATAAAAGGTAAGGTAATGTTGATGTTGAAATGTTTCTGCATCTTAATAACATGAATACACGAGGTAAGTCAGTTGGTATCATCAAATACAAGCATATATTTGTTGAACACAACCAGTAAAAATTAAACATTATTCTCTATTACTCCTATCCAAAACTAGTTTTACAATTTCACAGTGTGTAAAGTGAAAGCACCTTAATGTAATGAAATGAAAACTGCTGGGTACATGTTATTGGGAAGTTGTCATTATTATAATTTTGCCTATTACATCAACAGAGTCACTTGAGGCTGTAAGTATTGTAAGGAATAAATAATACAGTAGTTGAGAGTCTATAATGCCAAGTTTCAATGAACGTAGGATACTGGTATACAGCCATTTTAATATGACTGTCCTGCATCTTCCTGCACATCTATTTGCCTGAACACTTTGAATATCAAATGTATTGTAAGTATATCAGTTCATATGATGACTACATGATGACAACAATTCCACAGGATGACCACATCTGTTTCAGGAATATCTTACACCATATCCTGTTTTCTTCTCTAATAAATAATCTTAACAACCTTCAAATCAATCTAAATCACTAGATTAGATTAGATCCATCAAACAACATTTGTTTACTTTAAATATTTTCATGATTGTATGGTTTAGACAATTTCATCATCATTTAATAAGCACTAACACTGCTATAGATAATATAGAATATATGAGCCGTGTCACGACAAAACCAACATAATGGGTTTGCGACCAGCATGGATCCAGACCAGCCTGCGCACCCGCGCAGTCTGATCAGGATCCATGCTGTTCGCTATCAGTTTTACTACTTGTTATAGACTTTATAAGCGAACAGCATGGATCCTGATCAGACTGCGTGGATGCGCAGGCTGGTCTGGATCCATGCTGGTCGCAAACCCATTATGTTGGTTTTGTCGTGACACGGCTCATATCAAGTTATACTGATATACTCCTGTGTACAAAACTTCATGTCTAACAACCTCTACACAATCACTGACTGTTTAGTTATCAAGCGGTATAGCATACTCACAAGGAATAGAATTGAGCTGTGACATCAACAACTTGATATTTGTAGATGTATGTAAGTAATTGTATGTAAGATGAGGATAAGATGATCTCAGTAAACCGTATGTGATCCGAGATCAGAATCTTGGCTGGAAAGCGGAGGATGATGACGAAGTTTGTGTAAGATTGTTGTTGTTGAAAGACATCTGTTGACTGCCCTGACCTTGACCCTGTTGTACATTGTGCATGTGCTGCAAATGAAATCATATCAGCATATCAACATTTATCAATCTAATATAAACCAGTATTTTTCTTTCATTAAACCTCGTTTAAAAACATCGAAACATCTAAATATGTTAATTTTTTGAAAACATTGAAACCTTCCAGATTTATGGCTCTTTTAAAAACTGTGATATATTTTCACACTTTTATTTTAATCACAATAAATCTTTCAGGTTGTTTCACTTTTAAAGCTTCTATAATATTTCAGACTTGTCAAAACAACATAACTTTTCATTCCTTTTGGCTTTTTTTTAAAGAAACAATCAATCACAAAAGCCCTGTATAACCGGCATCAAACAATCTATTTTAAAGTCCTGTGAAGCCTACAGACTGAAAATTACAAGAGATCCCTGTTATTGTTGATAGATGTATTTCATACATGTTCTCAGAATATTGCATATTCAAACAAAAATCTATACTGTAGAGGTCAATAAAATTCTTAAATTACTTACTTTAGTTAGATAATGATTTATATAGAACATTATAACAATCCTAGAGCCCTGGCAGCATGCCAGGTTTCATACATACCACAAGCACTGTAAAAGCAGGGGAACTTCATAACTTTAATAACAAAAATAGAAAACATGCATGGTAATGAGCAAAGCAGTATTATGATATATACAACAGAAAATAAAGCAGACACAGATCAACCCTTGAAAATAAGACCACACTGTTGTTATAGCTACATACACAGTCACTATGATTGTACAAATCATAAATTTTGATGTAAATTAATGTTACTTTACAAAAAGTATACAGTACTGAAGGCCTCTTAGTATTAAATCTGAATGAAATGTTAGTCTAAAGAACATTTAATGGACTGAAACTAGAGTTTAAGACGCGTCTGAGTGGTAGATAAATCCGACTGAGTGGTAGGTAACTCTTGACTAAGTGGTATGTAACTCTTGACTGAGTGGTAGGTAAATCCGACTGAGTGTTAGATAAGTCCGACTGAGTGGTAGGTAACTCTTGACTGAGTGGTAGGTAAATCCGACTGAGTGGTAGGTTTGTTTGTTTGTTTTGGGTTTTACGTCACATCGACACAGTATAGGTCATATCGCGACGTTCCAGCTTTACTGGTGAAGGAAGACCTCAGGTGCCCTTCCGTGCATTATTTCAGGCACGAACGGGTACCCGAGTAGAACCACCGACGTTCGGTAAGCTAGCTGGATAGCTTCCTCACATGAAAGAATCCAAAGTCCCTGTCAGGATTCGAACCCACAGCGTTGAGGGGCAAGTGGAGTGGTAGGTAACTCTTGACTGAGTGTTAGATAAGTCCAACTGAGTGGTAGGAAACTCCGAGTTAGTGGTAGGTAACTCCAACTTAGTGGTAGGTAACTCCGAGTTAGTGGTAGGTAACTCCGACTTAGTGGTAGGTAACTCTGAGTTAGTGGAAGGTAACTCCGAGTTAGTGGTAGGTAACTCTGAGTTAGTGGTAGGTAACTCCTAGTGGTAGGTAACTCTGAGTTAGTGGTAGGTAACTCCAACTTAGTGGTAGGTAACTCCGAGTTAGTGATAGGTAACTCCAACACTATGAGGTCCCAAGTACAGTGTGCTATGTCTTACATTATACCTAAAATTACCACAACCAAATGAGAGTAATACAAGGAAATAAATTGTATTGCTTAAACCACATTTCTAGTAAAATGTACTGAAAACTTTCATCAATCAGCTTGAATAACTGGCATTTATTTAAAATCTTCTTTGCCATTATAGCCACTAAATTTAAATGGTCCAATAAAGATATTTTATATTATTATTATTATTTATTTCATGCTTTCCAGTGTATTATTGTAATATATCAGATGATTATATTCTGATAAACCACTAGTGAAATTTATAAAATATAATTTTCACTGTAGCCGGACTATAACTGAATGCGGATGAAAAGAAAATCAAACTAAATGGAATAACAGGCAGAAAAAAATGCCATCATACATAAATTTTGCTTCTTTAGGAAAAGAAAGTCGATGTCACCATACATCATGTTAAAAATGTAACAAAATGAGAGAAATTTAACAGAACTATATTTCTAAATTGATGATGTGACGTCATGATGTGATGATATCACAAAGGAGAATGCGCGACGTTACGCGGCAAAATCAGTAAAAATACTTAAAATCACTTAAAAAGCATGAAATAAAAAGACAATTTATTTGTTTTACATATGAGATTGAAACATATTTCTTTTGTGAACACCAGCTATTATATTTTTACTCGTGGCTACGCCACTCGTGAAAATATTGCATCTGGTGTTCACTCAGTGAAATTATATTTCAATCTTACCTGCAAAACAAACAAATATCCTTATGTACATACCCACTGACACAAAAGATATTCAAGAGAATGGTTGCACAATTTCAAAGTGAAAAAGTGGCATTGTTAAAAACAATAAGGACCCGAGAGGTGGGAATGGCATAGGAAGGGATGGAATAAAAATGTTGGTGACTTATTTTAATCTTTTCAGAATAAGCTGCTTTGCAATAGGGAAAATAAGCATGACATATCCAAACTTTGTGAAATTATAAACATGTTCTTATGAGATAAGACATATTATTATATGTAATAGTTTAAAAACTATCAAATCACAAATAGTTCAGAATAAAACATTTGACCTTAATATATAGATAATTTTCTAGAATTTACAATGTTATTATGTAGTAACCACACTGAAACAATGCTTAATTTATAAATAGTGCTTCTGAGTAGAGCAAAAAATATCAAGACAGATTTTAACCACTGAAATTACAACAATTATTTTGATTTATTATCATGGGAAAATATAGCAGGTCTTCCTTTGGAAACACCATCTTTTTATTTGGTGGTAAAATACATGGAAAAAATCACTGAAAAGAAAAAGTGACAATTCCTACTATCTTGATACATTTACATAAATATAACAGTGGCAATATGTCTACAAAAATATGTTTCTATAAGGAATATTTTTAGAGTATTAAAATCGGAGTATCTAAATCAGCCTTCATGACATAATTCCCTGACTTGATGTGTATATTTACATTTTTTATATCTTCTTCAGCTCATCAGAGTACATGTACTTAGTCAAATATTAATTCTCACAGAATATCACAGTAAAGGAATGGACTGGCAAAGATTGTTTACATATAAAGACTGTGCCACTTGTTTTCCTTGCTTCATGGTAAGTTTCCAGGCTTGATGTTAAAACTCCTTAAGTGCCCCCTTTTCTTAATTTTCTAAGCACCCTGGGCACTAGATGGGACAGTTACATGCACATATAAACAAATATTTTTCTAAACCAAATAAAGTAAGAGGAAAGTGAGATTAATCATTAAAATCAAGAAATATGTTGTTATTGTATGCAAATTTTGATCAAACACAAATTTTATAATTCTAAAATCAAAGCAATCTTGATGAAAAGTTTGTCATATTATTACATCTGGAGTTCTTTCTTGGAAACAACTGAAAAACAGACGGGACCAACTGAAATGTGCATTTGTTAAAAAGAATACTGCATGATGTAACTAAAACGATGGTAAAACAGGAGTTAAGTATAACAATAAGATTGTTCTTTCTTATAACGCTTGTTAACTACCAATGCATTTTGTACATAGCTTTACAGCCAAGAAGAGATTTTTAGGATAACAACATATTTTTATGTTTGGATATGGAACAAATATCCACAAATGGATGAAAATGTGAATTTTGGCCAAAAATTAACTTCATTTATTGCAGGTTTCCAAAGAATTGACCAAGCAAGGATTTGTGTGAATGTTTGACATCATTACGGGTCAAAATTGTGAGATTGTGTTTTAAGCATATTTATGGTCATTTTTTTTATCGATATGTTAGACGTTTGACACTGTTGAATCAACGATAAAAATTTCTCAAGAAAGATTACATCAAATGGCAGTACATGAACTGGTAGCTATTGAGAAACTAAATAAGAGCATTTTGATTTTTTTACAATTATACTTCATTTTTACAAAAATGCAGCAGAACTTTGTAAGTCAAATTTGAAGGAATTTGTTTAAAAACTTCGACACATCGGGATTTTGACTCATGAATCGGTCTCAATTTAATGACAAAGTTTCGAACATTCCACATTTAAAAGCGAGTAACAAAATGCGTAAAAAAAGGAATGGGCAATAACTTAACCATCTTATTGTTTATATCTCCAGTGTGATTATCACGCGACACAGGGTAACGGTAGTTCCCAAACAAAACTAATTCATAATGTTTATTTTCAAACACAACTACGGAAATTTGAATAATAACAATAAGAGTATTTTATCACACATGTGAACGCATACAAAGGCTGTTAGAACACACAGCTGTGTAATTAACACCTGTCACATGATTTGATCGGAAATCATCTTCGTGGCCAGAAAAGTTGTGAATAATGTTTAGAGATTGAAGGTGTCAAATAATCTCGAAGGACTTCGACTTATTTATGGTAAATTGTACTCAGTTTATTCTATAAGGACCATGAGAAAACTTCGACACATCAAAAATTCAGTACATGAAATTTCGACCGATGTATAGGTTTTTATATATTGAATATATAGCGGAAAAAATCTGGACTTTTATTATTTTACTTTGACACTTTGAGAAAATCAACTAATTGAAGTTTGACTCATAGAAGATCTACTGTAACTTAAAATTTCCTGAAAATGGTGTCTACCCAATGGGAGTTTAACCATCATGTGTTTAACTAGAAACCAACATATCTTTCTAACCGATGCTCATTTCAGTGAACAATATAGTCTTGGTTCCCTGTGTGCAAAATATTTCTTTACTTTTACACTATATCTCGGTATATTTAGCACTCTTCATTAAGTAACAATGTTGAGATTTAACAACAATAAAACACAGCACATTTACCCCATTAAATCCAACCAAGAGTAGTAACTCTAACTCTTAGTTTCAAAGTTACAGTAAAAAAAGCGACCGCGCAAGGGAAACACCCAAAACGGTCGCTTAATGAAATGGTCTCTTAAGACAAAGCATGATATAAAAGTCAAAATTTATAAATGACATCTTTCTTTTGCGGTGGGAATGTTTTTCAACTTTACTTATATAAATGTTGAATAATTAGTAAGCTCCGATAATCTAAATGGATGCAAAAATAACTTTCTGATATTTATTGACAAAACAGTTTTGATCCATTACGTACATGTTTGACATTTTCCAGAATTTTTTTAACTTCTCCGTTGTTTTTCCTTGTCTCCAACATGAAAACCCTATTAGTGAAAATGTTTCCTGTTGTGCATTTTTTCATTTGAAATAAACAAACTATATCTAATTGTTACGATTAATTTAATTGCTGATCAAGTTCAAGGTCAATTCAATGCAGTCTAAATGTCAACAAGCTAAGCATATACACCATCTCAGTAGGGGCGGAGCGTTGCATTGTTTATCCGATTTTATTGATTAATACACGTCACGAGTACATGTATAATGCTAATAACTACATTTGCATACGCTGAAACAGTTTGGGAAATAGAGTTTTTCACACATTTATTTGTTGTGTTTTGATTGTTTACACTTGTGGCATTACGAGGCGGCGTTCTCTAACAACACAATTACTTGACAGGTAAAAGTGGTTGTTTAATGAAAAGACTGATCTCAATTATGTGACTAATTAGCGGACGCTGGTCGCGTTCAGCAAAAGTCGCTTAATATATTAAAGATATAGAGAGAAAATGATCGGGGGGATTTAAAGTGGTCGTTTAAGACAAAAGTCGCTTAATACACGTGGTCGCATGGGAAAGTTAGACTGTACCTATTAATTTAAGCACTGATATCTTTATATTCTAAAATTGATATAAATACCATACTAGAAGAATTACCTTTCACAAGACAGCTGGCTGTTATTTTGAGTTTTTCTCACTTAGACAAAAAATATCAAAAATATTTCAAATGTATGATATAATGATACTATGAATCTCAAAAAGATCATGTTTATTAGTCGCATATAAAAACCAAAATATTTATAGAACTTTTTATTAACATTTCAGTTTTTCAGCAGGGTAAAGTTGTAAGCTCTAAACTAATTGGGCAGAGCAGATCTACAATACCAAACAACCTTTTAGTATATCTATTAAAGCAAAAAAAATGAGAGAAATCATAGCTGCATTCAAGGAGATTGGTTATCATAATTTACAAGCACATAACAACACTCTAGGTCATTCTATTTTAGTAAAGCAAAAATCATGCACTATTCACACACCTATGGCCTTAAACACATCTTTATCTATAATACAACTCTTTTAAGAATTTGTATATATTAAATCATTTAAAAATCTTGAACAAAATAAGAGCAGTCTACTGAATGCATATTGTAGATAATTACTGGAAGCAGTCTGTGTACAACAGTTATAACTATGACAACAAGTGGTCTGATTTTACCAAGGTTGCACTGTACCTGATACTCAGTAGTTACCATAGAACTGGAGGTAGAAGAGGTCGGGGGAAGGGTTCGTACTCGCTTAGCTGGCGGTTGCTGCCCATGTGTGGAGGATGCATCATTACCTGTCTGTTGCTGAGAAAAGGAATAAAGTTCCCTCTTATGATAAAAAGTTTTTTAGCATGAAAATTTATTCATTTCAGCAAAGGAAAACATGCATGAAGAATGATGCTAAAAATCCAGTCAGTTATTTTTCAATATCACTGATTCAATTCTGAGTAGAGCTTTGCAGATTTGATGAAAACATTACATTATTGATAGCCTTTTATCAAGGACAGCCGTTGTGAAAAAAGAAAAAGAGATTTGTCAAGCTGAAGAGTTGAAGAAACACAAGCATCATACAGTCTTATAAAAAGTTTAGCTGGGACTGAAGTAACAATTAAATAAAGACTTTATCTCTGGTTTTTGTTTTAAAAACTAACCTAGAAATAGGCATTTAACCACTTCTCTATGTAATGAACAGTGATGTGTTTAAATCTTTCAGACAAACCAAAAACCTTATCTATAGTTATTTAGCTAGATAACTTCTAAACATTAAAAAGTTTTAATGTCCTTCGTAAAACACAAGATGGTAGGCATGTATATCAACAAAAGAACTTTCAAACATGGAGAGATTTATGATAAAGGTCTAAGAAATGTTGTAAGATTTATTTTGTTACCTTACTAGCTGCACCAGAAGCTCCTTTATCTTCTTCATCGTCAGCCAGAAATTCTCGCTTAGGATATGGTATTTGATAGGATTCAAATACACTGAAACAGTTACACATACAAAGGTAAATATGAGCCACGTCACAACAAATCCAACATAGTGGGTTTGCGACCAGCATGGATCCAGACCAGCCTGCTCATCCGCGCAGTCTGATCAGGATCCATGCTGTTCACTTACATACTCTATAACAAGTAAAGAAACTGATAGCGAACAGCATGGATCCTGATCAGACTGCGCGGATGCGCAGGGTGGTCTGGATCCATGCTGGTCGCAAACCCATTATGTTGGTTTTGTCATGACGTGGCTCATATATTGTTTCCACATATAAAACAGTTCTTATCAAAAATAAGAATTGAACAACATCCTCAGAATACCAGCTAAAATCTTGCTTTATTTAATATTTTTTGCAGGTGGGTAATGATTTTTTTATATACATAATTTAAATGTAAAGTTATGAGCATACAAACAAGCAAACTGACGATAATCAGTGAGTGATCAAAATAGCTCACACTAAGCATGTTGTGCTCTGGTAAGCTAACATAAAATCCATTAGAACCTAAGGGTAGGAAAGAGTAATGTGGTAATATAAATGTACAAACTCTGTGGCAGGTTTTGGCTCCTCTAGAAAATATGGATCCATCATTGCTTGCTCTGAAGTTATTCTTTTTGTAGGGTCCATTGTTAGTAATTTCTGTAGCTGTAAATATCATTTGTATAAACATGACACAAAGAATTAAATAATCCAATTCTTGTTACTATAGATAATAAACATGGGTGACCAAAATAACTTGTTGCAATACATAGTGACATCTCTATAAATTGTGTTTATCTTAAAGAATACAAAAATAATGAATTTGAATTTCATCCCATTCATTTGCAGTGTTTTTTAGCTTTAAAGTGTTCCCATTTATTTCAAATAAGCTTTCTTCTCAAACATACTACATAGGTAGAGTATAAGTATCACTGATTTAAACTAGATGACAAATTTGGAGAAGTAAGCAGTCCCATGTACTTGAATAAGTACTTATACAATATTTATGAAAACTTATTTAGGTTTTGGCCACTGTCATTTTGGGGGTTTAAACATAATACTTAAATCACTTCAGTTCGCCAGCAATAAACCTGTAAAATTGCCTTTGCCATCAGCATTGTTCCAGGCCAGCTTGCACATCTGACAATGCTTAACCCATTACTTCATGAGCATTTTGTGAAAAATGGCTATTTTCATTGAAAAGTCTCCCGTTACAAGTTCAAATGGCTATAATACTATAAAAACTGCTTCAACACTAATCAAACTTGGCACAAATGTTGACTGGACCTTTGTCCTTGCAACAACATGCTCAGGCTTAAATTTTCTGTTACCATGGCAACGAGGGGTCATCTCAAAATTGCCAAAAATCACTATTTTGCGTTGATTTTTTCCATCATAATTGATTTCAAAGTGCTGCAACTTCTCAATGGATTGAGAATAGAGTCAAATGCTTTTTCAGCGTTGGTCACACGTTACCTTATGATCAATCTGGGGTCCATTTATAGCCTCTCACAAGTCCAAAATTTTCTTGGCGATGAGGGGGACTCCGCCCCCTTCAAAACCCCCCTAACAGAAGGGGGCACATCCCCCTTCTGGCAACCCCCTGATGTATCTTTTGGTTGGGGGGCCGCGCCGAAAAACTGGTCACTTTTTTTAACAACATTTCTCAAACAAAAACAAGTGTTAAGGGCCTAAATAATGCATTTTTTCACCATTTGAGACAACAAAAAGGGGGGGGGGGTGAAAAAGGCGTTAAAAGGCGTGTATATGAAGTAATGGGTTAATACTATTGGCTTTTTAATGTTGTATTTTGATATCCAAATGTCTTTAACTTTGAATGGGTTTTAACAAGTTCAAATTAGGGCAAATCCATTACATAAACTCAGCAGGTAAAGTGTTGTTGAATTTCATGTACACAGGATAAAACTAAAACACCATTATGATCTTGGTATGTTTTGATTCTCAGAATTTCATGCTGGTACTGTGTTTGCTTTTTTCATTTCAACAAGATATCTCATCAAATAACCATAAATGTTACAATTCAGAAAAAGAACCTTCCTAATTAAGAAGGTGAAACAGATCTGTAATAAAGTAGTAACTTACTAAATGGAATGCTTTACTATCAGGTTTTATCTTGTGTTTCTCCATATATTTTGTGAGATTACAGTTACCATAACTGAAATATATTTTGTATGACATTTATACGATAACATCACTATGTATTTTCAAGATTTTAACATGCCAACTAATATTCTGTTATTAAGTATTGAAAACATACCTATTAGCTAGGGTATTTCTGTAGTCTTAATAAAAGGCAATGAATAAATGTACCTGTCATTATGAGTTATGATAAAAAAGTAAAGAGGAAAATTGTCACTTTTTCCTGTCAAATTACATTTTGGGACAGAATAAAACAATATTATATCGTCCCATTTTCATTTATGAATAAAAATCTACGTAGAAATAATTTCCCAAAAAATTATAAATAAATTTACATTTGTGACAAACTTTACTGTAACTTTTGGGTTAAAATAGTTAAAATGTATTTTGGGCCCCTTAAGAATTTATTTCCATCCACTCCCGGCCCAAATGCTTTTCCCAATACATATAACCAGTTTTTCCAAAAATCAAAGATCGGGTTAAAAAAATTTTAATAAAATGTATTACTATGCTCCTTTTCAAAAAGATGTTTAAATAATTTTTAAAATTTTCGGGAAAAAAACCCAAAAATCACTTTGTAATGTTTTTTCAAAAACTTGATTTTTAAAAAATTTTCATTAAAGTTCCATGCTCTGGCATTTTTCTTATATCTTCCCAATCTTTTTCTGAAAATAAACAACAGTTAAGTGTTATATTTCATTTCTTGTGTGAAGACCAAAACGACTATTCAAATTAAAAATAGTGCTCTCATAATAATATTGAATATATACAAATGTTCTGCAAGAATTAATCAGATTTTAGAGGAACAAATCTGAAAAAATCTGGTTTTGTTCTGTCAAGCTCAAGTGTAATCACAGTCTTTTATCACCTGGCAGTCATTTAATAATACTCCTTGATTCTTATCGAGTTACAAGACATTTTTCAAAAATAAATATATAACTTTTATCACATGAATCTTTTGACTGCTGTTCGCACATTTGATGCTTATCATTTTAAATTTCTTAGACAAAACATTCTTCCTACTGAGTAAATGAGGGCTGCTTGGTTTTATTTTTTCCATATCATATTAATATATTAATTAACTTATACCTGTGGTAAAGCTTTTACCTTGTGGAAATCCCATAACATTAAATATTCTATCAAGTTGATCATGGTGATAGGGGTTACTAGTTTTAATGTCTTCTTGTCGACAATGAAATATTGGTTCCGATGTTAATAACTCAGCAAATATACAACCTATTGCCCATATATCTGAAAATATACATTATATACATTCATACGTATATTGTTACAGGAAAATGATAATTTTACATATCTGATAAAATGTACACAATGATACTAAGGTGTTTAATAAGATTTGATATCATAAATAGTTTTTAGCAGTTTAGCAGAAATAAAATACGTTTTATTGAAATAAAAAAATATCACCATCAGTCAAATTTTTTTTTCTTTTTCTTTCTCTCTCTCTTTTTTTTTTTTTTGGGGGGGGGGGTGGATGGAGGATGGGACCATGAGTCAGATGATATCAGCTATCTATCAGCTATCATTTACTTATTTAAATTTAAACTAAAAGTGAGTTACGTTTCTTTGAAGTTTGAAATAGTAATATTTCAATGTAACATAAATGTAACATAAAAGGGACTGTTTGTCTGTTTCTGATCTTTCTGATCACTATTTTCCCTTCTCCATAGGTCCTATCACTACTCCCCTTATAGTGAAAAAAAGCACTGAAGTGTGTCATAGAGTATCCTAATGATCGACTGAAAAAGATAATGCTGTATAAACATGCCAACATACCAATAGCTTTAGTATAATGTCTAGCACCAAGTAGAAGTTCTGGAGCTCTGTACCAGAATGTAACAACCACTGGATCCAAGTCAGCAAGAGGCTTCAATGGTGCATTGAATAACCGTGCAAAACCCATGTCAGCTGTAAATAACATAACAAAGTAAGTGTCATGACAAATAAGCTGAAGAAGAACAATGACAACTTTTGGCTCTTTTTCTCAAACTTCAGATAAAGATTTTAAACACAAAGGTACACAGAACAGATTTGGTATTTCTGTTTCACCTACACTATAAAATATAACATGTAAACCAGTAGAAAGTAAATGCTGGGATTTTTTTAGTTGGTTTATTTCATTATATTGTGTGCAAAATGTCTTAATACTGCATCTTTAAAAATGTAAAATTAAAATCAGCACTATATATTAGCTTATTATTATATTGTTACAATTTGATAGAACAAATGACACACATGCTAATGATATTTTGGATTTGATAGGTCTAACCAATGAAACTCAACAAGATCAAACAAAACAAAAACAAAACGTATGAAATTCAAATTGTTAGGGTATTTAATTAACAAATATTGACCAGTATATTATATTTCTAACAATGCCAATTTGTACTTTTTTTATTTTATCATATGAAATTGAGTTTAATTGCTGAATGGAAAAGAAACTTACTATAGACTTACAATATGACACGATTGTAATGTCAATCTGATTTGATCAATATAAAGATGTTTTAAATATTGCTATATACCGTATACACTTACCAATTTTTACTCTGCCTCTTTCTTGTCCTTCCCCCATTACAAGAATGTTTGCTGGCTTCTAAAATACACAAACAACAACAACATGCCTTAAACACAATATACCACATTTCAAAGAGATATACATGTAATAACTTTATCTGGTAATGAATATCATACTAGAGAATTCACTTGATAATTCATGCATCAAAGTTGAAACTAATCATCCATGGCTTCAGCTTAGATTAACAACCAGAAACACAACACCTTACTCTGTCAACAAAATAACATACTGAATCTGACTATAGGGTGAAAGTCAATAAATTCCCAACATATCTCTTGTTAATAACACACCAGTCCATGCCATTTTTTATTCAGTTAACAAATACCATCAAAATGTACAAGTTGCATAACTTAAGCCCAGCTCTTTAAAGGGATACTCAGGCAAATTAACAACAAAAATATTAAAATGATATTATGTACTCAAATCACGCTAAAATGACATTTTCTAAAGCCTCAGCATAAATTTCTGTATGAATTCCATATATTTTGGGTTTAAAGCGTAAATATGTATAGAACGAAATTTAGAGGCCGAAAGAATCACTGTGTAGTTTTAAAACAATGTCATGTGACTTGAACAAACCCTGGAAGTTAAAATCACAGAAATTGTGGGTATTTTATGATTGAAACAGCTCTAGGTCAGAAATTTGGCTAGTTCATTTACGTTTCCAGAGTTCACTGTGACAAATATTATGAACCTGACCCACGTGGGTGAAGTTAGAAAACACTCAATTTATTCTTTATAAGGAGAAAAGTTTTTTTTATCCTGTGACTGCCTAGTGTATTCCTTTTGATGATATTTACAGAATAATGAACAAACAATTCAAAACAAAGGAATGAAAATTTTGCCTGTATCTCCTTTTAAAATGTAATCTGTCTTAAATAAAAAAGTTTAAACTTTCAAACTAAACAAGTGCATAGCATTATACCCCCACTTCTTTGTGGGAGGCATAATAAACATCATAATTATAACCTAATAAACTGTTTGTCTCTCATCATAACTTTAATATCATTTAAAACAGCACTCTTTCAGATTCAAGTTAGTTTTGTGACAATTTAGAAACTGTTTTTTTTTGTAAAACTATTGTAAAGTAAACAAGTTAAGTTATTTAAGGTAGCATTTAAGGCATTTATAATCCACAGAGATAACACAAAATATGCAAGAATAGCTGTTTCTCTGTAACATGTAGTAACTACAGTTAGAAATATGGTGATACATACTAAATCTCACATAATTGAGCATATACATGTAAGAAAAACATGACCAAGAATGTGAAAATGTATACATATCTTAAACTTTTAATATTTAATACATTAATGATTAAAGTTTAGTTTTATTTGAACTTTGCTCATCTGCAGCTGAGTAGCTATACATAAAAAGAAAATAAACATACAAGATCCCTGTGCAGCACCCAGTTGGCATGAAGGTAATGTATACCATCTAATATTTGATATAACAAGGATTTCACCATATTTTTTGGCACACTTATTGCTTTCTTCGTTGCCTTTGCTGATCTGTGAAACTTTATGATATGCTGCAATAAAATTACATATAAACAATACAAATATATTGAAATATATACAGAAAATTATTGATAAAAAAATCTTTAAATACAAAGTCACACCTACACTGTTAAAGTCATATGACAACTTATCAGCTTAACTAGTAGAGGAAGACCTCTGATGTCCCTCTGTTTATACATGTAATTTCAGACATGAGGGACACCCAAGTAGAACCAACAACCTTCAGTAAGCAGTAATCTAGTTAGATAACTTCCTAACTCTAAAGACTCCAAAGTCATTGACGAAATTTGGACCTACAGCAGTACGGGGCAAGTAATTTGAAGTCAATAACATTATCTACCTGCAGGTAAAATCTTGTGCATAACTTCCAAGACACCGTAATACTGATTTATGCTTATTGTAACAAATTCTTTATTATTGTAGCAAATTCTTTATTATTGTAACAAGTTCTTTATTTAAGTAAATGAAGAACAAATAACTTAGACTGTTAAAAATGACAATAAATATAGAGAATATTTACCCATAAATCATGTTCAGCATAATCAAACAACAACCAAACCTTCCTGTCTGTGTGAGACAAAAATACTTTCTGTAAACTTATCACATTTGGATGTTTTAATTCTCTCAGTAACTGAAAATAATCAACAATAAAGCAAAAGTAAATACCAGGTAAAATACCATCTGACTTTCTTACTAGGCAAACTTGTCTAAAATATGTATACAGAACATACAACTTTAAACATTTTAATTGTTAAATTTCATGAAAAAATAAAATCATATTTTCATGTATCTCAAACTTTTCTGCTAAATAAATACTGTTCCACTTACTTTAAAAAAACAACAACAAAAAAACAAGACCATGTGTTAACAACCTAAGTTAAATTTTTAACTTAGCCTCCAGCTATAATAACATAATACCAACACTGGCCAACAGGCAAAACATCTTTTACATCTACATGTATATACAAATAACTTGTATAGTGTACATGTAATACAATTGTAACATGTACAAATTTTACATTAAGCATAAAAATTGATGCAGATCGTTTCCTGTACAATCAAATTTCTTAAAAATTAAAACTGATAAATACTAATGTAAAATTATTGATATACTAAATATTGATGTTGTTTTCACCATACACTTGTTTAATTCTTATACATTTATTTTTATGCTATTTTTGAAAGTTGTGATCTGTTCTATGACTACTATCACATAAATATGATGTAATCAAATATAAGGAATCAGCAAATGTTTCAGTTATTTTTTAAGCTTTCATCAATATGATAATATAGGAAACCACAGAAATTTAAAGTCTGTGAGGAACTGAATTGTTAATTTTTTCTGATACTAAAATTTTCAAATGTTTATCTTTAATATTTTAAAAGACTCGTGTTAATCTTACAGCAATTTCTCTGCATGCTGACATTGAGATTCCTGTCCCTTCAATCTGCTTTAATGCATATTCTTTCCCATCAGAACTGCAAAACAAATGTTCAAAATATAGATTAATATGAAAATACGTGTTAACGATCACAGACAGCTGATATTCTGCTTATATAGTAAGACTTTCTAAAATATAGTAAGACTTTCTAAATACTGGAATCGGTAAAAGGCCATAACTAAGGAGTTAATACATTTCTTTATGCAAGAAAAAAATCATGTCCATCTTTTTGGTATCACGTCATGGTATGCAATGAAAGTTAAAAATACATGTTTCTCTTTTTGTGTTAACTTTGTATTACTTAAACTACATTTCTCTCACGTTTATTTTCATGATATATTTTGGCTCATCTGGAGGCATGCAGCTTTAAGGAGATAGCAGCAAGTTGGTGCTTTACAGTAAGCCCACAGAACTGTTGGTTATCAATGGAATCACTTCAGAATTTCTGCTCTTTTGCATTTTTGTTTCCAAGAACACAATGACATAAACAATAAAGTTTCAAGTTTAATCAATATATTCCTTATTCCCATCAATTTGTGACCTAAATAAATGTCTGGCATAACACTCCTGCAAGGACATATGTCATCCAAAAAATTACACAAGTTTTAGCCAACACTTCAATGATTTGACAATTTTATCCAATCAAAATGCTTCATTGAACAGACCTGTGTAATTCTGCTTACCCTACAGTCCATTTGTAGTCAAAATTTATTGACGTGCCAAAGCTTGATTCTGAGATATTTTCGTTCTGGGGCAGAATCTCGCTTTGTAGAGGTGATATATTGCCCAGACACGAAAATAGCACAATATCTTGTCGCGCAGTACAATTAGTTGGACTAGTCCATTTGATGACCTTATTTCTTTATAATACTGAATGTTGATGTAATAAATTTATCAAAGACACAATCAAGAAAAAAATATTCTAATTATGTCGTAAAAATTTACTCAAAGTTTTTGAAACATATATCAATCAGACTGGACAGAATTTAATCAAGCTATTAAACGAATTAGAGTTGCGATAAGGATTAATTACTTTCTATTTTAATACAGTCATGTACAAATAAATAATGTTCAGGGCTCATCCCGAGGGAGTCGGCACAAATTTTCTGCACTGCATCCCTATTTAGCTTTTTTGAAAGATCAAAGGAAAATCTACTCTACCAAAAAAGTATATGATAGTCACAAGCGATTACTGCATGATGATGCTGCACTGCTGACTATCTTTGGCCAATCAGAGCATTGTTTATATATAGAAGCCTGAAATCACTATTTGTCTAACACATGCTTGTTTGTGTGTGCAATTTTAATTTACAATGGATGTTAAAGTAAACAAGGGTGTTATTCCCTAATTAATGGATCGGCACCATACAGTCAGTGTTTGACAACGTTACACTCTCCATAAAGCTACACACCTGCCTGGCTTTTATCACGGATTTACATTACAAGGATCGGACACTTTCGTTTAGCTTAAAGTCTCGTCGCGCGCATGGATAAGGTGGGCAGAATGAGAGATGGCTGAAAGCGCGGAGTGCGAAATATGACAGATTTTCACAAGAGTATGTGGTGTTATTGCAGCTTTGTGAAAAATTAAACACATATGAATGTATTGATACAGTATTATTTTGTGTCGCTAAAGTATTTATATATGAAAATATGCTGATAGAACGATTCAACACTTAGTTAAAAATGTACCTAATTTAAACAAGAGCTGTCGGTAGGACAGCATGCTCGACTATTCTTAGTGCTTGATAGTAAAAAAAATGCCTGATACAGTTACCTCCTCCTGTTTACAGGTTGGGGTCATGATGTTATTATTACAAAATAATACTATTACAAAAACTTTAACGTAAATTCTAAGTCGAAAAAGGGGCATAATTCTGTCAAAATGCTTAATAGAGTTACCTCCTGCTGTCTACAGGTTGGGGTCATGATGTTGAACAAGTTTGCAAAGTTTCAAAGCCATATGTCTATGGACTTTGAAAATATTTGAACTATTACAAAAACTTTAACGTAAATTCTAAGTCGAAAAAGGGGCATAATTCTGTCAAAATGCTTGATAGAGTTACCTCCTCCTGTCTACAGGTTGGGGTCATGATGGTGAACAAGTGTGCAAAGTTTCAAAGCCATATGTCAATGGACTTTGAAAATATTTGAACTATTACAAAAACTTTAACGTAAATTCTAAGTCGAAAAAGGGGCATAATTCTGTCAAAATACTTGATAGAGTTACCTCCTCCTGTCTACAGGTTGGGGTCATGATGGTGAACAAGTGTGCAAAGTTTCAAAGCCATATGTCAATGGACTTTGAAAATATTTGAACTATTACAAAAACTTTAACGTAAATTCTAAGTCGAAAAAGGGGCATAATTCTGTCAAAATGCTTGATAGAGTTACCTCCTCCTGTCTACAGGTTGGGGTCATGATGGTGAACAAGTGTGCAAAGTTTCAAAGCCATATGTCAATGGACTTTGAAAATATTTGAACTATTACAAAAACTTTAACGTAAATTCTAAGTCGAAAAAGGGGCATAATTCTGTCAAAATGCTTGATAGAGTTACCTCCTCCTGTCTACAGGTTGGGGTCATGATGGTGAACAAGTGTGCAAAGTTTCAAAGCCATATGTCTATTGGCTTTGAAAATATTTGAACTATTACAAAAACTTTAACATAAGTGGTTACGCCGACGCCGACGCTCGGGTGACTGCAATAGCTCTACTTATTCTTATCGAATAGTCGAGCTAAAAATATTTGCCTATTGTTTAGGCATACTCTCTACACTTAGATGCCCTTTTACTTCAAGCACAAATTATTACAGCGATTCAGATTAAAATAATTCTTTTTACATGGTTTAATGGGTGCATTGCAAAAAAATGTTTCTTGATTGCTTAAAAACTTTTAAAGACTTTCATGTTTGAAATTTGTCTTTATTTCTGTGAATTATTTCCAAAAGATTTGTACATTTTTTATTTGATAACCTGTATCTTAGTATAAATATAGTAAATATTCTACTAATTAGTATATTAAATATATTTTCAGATCATTCTAGACAAGCGTTCATAAATAGATGAATTCATTAGATTGGCAAGGAAGAAACTTTTATTGGCTGTTAATCGAGTTGTTATTTTTATTTTGAAAAGTTACCATAATTATAAATTTCAAATACCTGCTTTTTATATAAAAAATGTAATTTTACCGCGGATTTCGTCAAGTCAATATTTTAATAGCCTTTATCAGATAAACTCAGGGCTCTCGATTGACACGGGGATCCGGGTTTTGACTCGTGAAAATCGGGAAAAGCACAAATTTGACATGTGATAAAATCTGCTCAAGAGTCAATTTGCCACATGGGATTTTCAGCTATGCAATAATAATTACCTGTAATCCAACCCTAATTACCTATCAAATCCTACATATGTTCAAATGTCACTCATTAAAAATGTCAACAGGCAGTATAAGCCTCGTATAAAATGCTTTACACACGGCAATTGTTTATATTTATAGCCAGCCGCATAGCTCAGTCGGTTAGAGCGCGAGACTTGTAATCTCGACATTGTGGGTTCGATTCCCGGGCTGGCCAACTAAAATTACTAATCAGTCTTTCGGATGAGACTTTAAATCGAGGTCCCGAGTATGGGTGCTTAAAAACTTGGCACGTTAAAGAACCAGGAGAAGCTTCAGGAATTGGGGCATCTTTCTGTATCTGTAATTGCACTATCCTCCAAAAAAATAAAATGACTAATACTCTTCTGGAGGACTCGCCCATATGGGCAACCGGTGGCGAGTATAAATAAACGCAAACAGGCTTCACGAAAGTTGCCGGACCGTCGGACATGTCCGGCAAAAATCAGGCCGGTCCGAAATTTTTTTCGGAGTTCCGGACCTTATGTCCGGTACGAATACCGGGATATATCCAAGACCGATCAAGACCGAGTTTTCTCCCTTGAATAAAAAAATGTAAAACGAGTTTTGATTCGCCGTTTCATTATAAGTGTCCGATACATACGACTGTCAATAACCAAAATGTCGGTGTTACTACATTATTACGCTGGCGCTACGCCCGGCAAAAATCGTAAACTATCCATTGAAGAAAAAAAATCGAAACAAAAGGAATACGAGTCCAGGCGCCCGCCGAGAAAATTTGTGGGTAAATGGAAAAATGGCCGCTTTGATCATGAATGTTTTGATTTCCAAACAGTCCATCCACAGGTGCTTGAAACAAACTTTTTTAAGTTTTATATGGGCTATATACTATATATCTTTATATACATATATAGACTGGTTATGTAAAATATTTGAATATATGTGACTAGCGCCTGTGAGTCCATCAATCAGGATAAACTAATGTTTTATTTAAGGGAATAAAATTGGGTTGCAAATCTTTAAAAGTTGTTATGTCTTTAAAAAAACACCAAGGTATTACCATATACATATATTTGGGGGAAAAAATTCGGTCAGACAAAAGTTCTTTCGGTCAGACAAGAATTGAAAGTTTGTCTGACCGAATGTCAGGCAAATTTTTCAGCAGTTTCGCGAAGCCTGGCAAATACACACAAATTGTTTATACCCTGTGTACTGAAGCGCGACAATTCAGTGGCTGCAATTTGACAGTGCTAAAAATAGCTCTACACAACTGATAAGAATTACATGCTTGAGGTGTCAATTATTGATTGCTTTTAAAGGTTTATAATACAATACGTCTTTGATTTACTTGGAGTACCTGTGCATTTGTTATTTCTTTTTTCATTAAATATTCCAAGTTACATTTTGGTATTTAAAATTAATATGATATAGCATACCAGTAAAGATAAAAAAATTTATATTTTTAATTTTATACATTTAATCAGAAAAGCTGCTGCTTATTTTATTCTTTCACAGCAATTCATTTTTTTGTTTTATTTGTTTTTTTAGGTGGAGGAGGGGGTATAGACATTATAATTATGGATTTTTTCTGTCAATTTAGACTTTGGAATTTCCAAAAATAACCTCCAATACAGTCATTTTTGTAACATAAAAATGATTCATGTAGTCAAATGACACTAGAAAAAAATAATTTGACTCATGAAAAGTTTGGCCTAAAAAGAGTCTTTGACTCGTGAAATTCTGACCCTACTGAGAGCCCTGATTAACTGTACCTGTAAAAAATAAATTAGATATTTGAATTAAACAAGTATTTCTCTTCAAAATAAACTTTAAATTTCCAAAATCGGATAATAAATGGAAAAGCTATATGGTTTTTTGTAAAGTAGGTATCCATTGCGAACGGGCATTTACGTTTAGCGCTGGTAAATTATCCATCAATGTACCTTTATCGGGCGCATAACAAGATATTTAAGCATTTATATAGGGTTAACTGTCTGGGAATGTCCGATCCCTGTAATACGGGAGGTTGAAAGACCGGGCCCGCGAAGCGGGTCCTGGCTTTGGATTGCCCGGCTATAGACTACACGTGTATATTTAAAAGAAAATAAAAAAAAACAATTAAAAAGTATATAGAATTCTATACCTATCAATGAAATTTTCAGTGTCAGTTCTAGTCGGGCGCCACCATTTACAATGTAACTCAATGATAAAAGGCGGGGTATTCCGATAACGGAACAAATCTCAGTTTTTCGGATAAATAATAAACGTCGAGTGTTCCAAGTGAAAAAACGGCCGGAAGCGGTCCATGTAATACCGAATGACAATTTTAAAACGGAAAAAATGAAAGGAATTTTTTAACGACTTCCCCGTTCATAGGCTTTGCCTAATTTCATAATATGAAAAGGCAAAGCCTCAAAGCGTGCTTGATGTACTTTTAACGTGAAATAGTATGAAATAATCGCTCATTTTTAATTCAAATGCAGTGACGAGTGCGTGTGACGTTACACGTACTGTGTTAAATATGGCTCCGCCCCTGTCGTTGAATGAATAACGAGTTTTGAAAACGTTGATAAAACTTTGTTTATTTTATTTCACTTTATAATTTTTCAAGCGAAATAAAGATTATTAAAAGTGAAATAAATGTAAAACTTAAAACGTTTGCGACATTAAAATAGCGTACTTGATTTGTTTGTTTTGCACGTGCTGTTTGGTGCTACATTGTGACTTCACGTAAACAATACTTAAAACGTCTGTACAGCGTTAACAACTGAATAAAAGATATTGGTGTTCGGATGCATTTTCTTAGTTAGACCATTTTCTTTCATTCTAGATAGTTTTCACAACAAAATTCGACAAAAAATTGTTTTAATTTATCAGATTTTTCAAACAAAATGGCGCCTTCAATTTTCATTTTACATTTCCGTTCGCTATTTTATCGACAGTTTCCGTTATTCTGGTTTCCTGTCCAATTATGGTTTCCATAGACGTGCGCGGGTGACCAGTCTACACATCCGTTTTCAGTCAGAATTCCTCAGTTTTTATCGTTTCCTTTAAATTCGAAAGGTTGCGATGTGTCCAATTCGGTACTTCGAACGAAAGTTTTCAAAACCATCACTTAGCAGGTACTCGCGTTACCGTAAAGCTCGCTTTGCGAGCAGGCCCTTCAGGCCAGCTCGTCGAGCTCGCTATTATAAATATGTGCTTTTATCCATTTAAAATTTTATTCTCTTTTTAACTTGTTTCCATCCTTATTCATAGTTAATGTGCATGGAAGATAATTTAACTATACAGGTTTCAAAATGTTCTTTTGTTAGGATTTGCGGGGGGAAAAAAGAGTGCATAATTATAGAAAAGTTAAAGAACATAATTGTGTAGAGACATTTTTTACAATTAATTGATGTCATAAAACAAAAGGTATTATATGAACGAACAACGTATCATATGATTTGAGCTTTTGTGTGACCAAAGACAAACCTATCTTTGCTTTTAGCCTTGTAAACGCTCCCGTATGTTCCCCTTCCAACTTTGCAGCCTTCGTAATCAAAGAGATCTTCAACCTTTTTTCTTTCCTGTGCAGTTTTCTGCTTATACTCGTAATCCATTTTGTATTGCTTGCAGAAAAAATATCTAAAAATTTAGTTTTGTCCGAGCCATTTTAATTGAGAGTAATCTCCCCTTACCAAAAACAACCCCAAAGACAGGAAAGTTGTGCTAGGAATGAAAAATTGGAAGAACGGTTAAATTAATTAATTTGTTAGGATGGTTCATGCTAAAGTTAAAGTTCTCCTTATTGATTGAGAAAACTTTTTGATTGAGAAAGGAAGTAATGAATGATCAATAAAAGATTATTCCTTTTTTATTAGTCAAATGTTTTGCTTGCTACTTCAACTGCTGTTCAGAGTCCAAATTACAACAAAATAATATATTTTTATGTATTCATTTCAAACTTGGGCCTATCTGTTTTCCCACATTTAAAAAGTGTTAAAACTATTGACCCAAAATACAAATACTGTATTGATATAATCAAATTGTTTCAATCCCAAATAGATACTGGGAATTGTCTTGAAATGATAAGTCAGGTGAAAACTCCTCCTAAATCTTTCTTATAGAATTTCCAGGATGTTCTAGTCACTGGGAATTTCTATGCAAATCTAGAACTGCCACTGTTCTAGCTAAGATACCTACACATGCTGCATTAAATGTTTGAAGCATATTGTTATAGTTTAAAGTCAGTACATATCATTTGGAAAAAAAATATGAAAGATAAAACAAAGGACAATGAATTGTAAGATATACAAAACAAAATTATGGTGCTTAAGCATTCTAGTTATCCCCTGTGCAATCTATCAATCCATTAATTTTCAAGCTGTTACCTTTTGAATTAAGCTTCAAACTTCAGAAAAACCACAAAGGGCAATAACTCCAGTATGCAGGAGTAATGGTTCATAAACTTCACTTCTCAACAATGAGATATTATCCTCTATTGAGTTTCAATTTGATACTCAATTACTATTTAGTTATGATCAGGACAAAAATTTAGTATGGAAAGTTACAAAAATTTCAGTGACTCCAAAATTATGCAAGAGAGTTATGGTTCTTTGTCACTTAACCTCTGCTCAAAGAGATCTTTCAAGGTGATATCTGCTATTGTGTATCATGTTATGTCTCAGACAAAAATTAATTGTGAAAAATTTCAAAGGGCAATTACTTCAAAGGTACGAAAAAAGGAGTATTTAAATTAAACAAGAGCCATGTCAACATGGCCATCCCCCGCCGAATGTGTTTGCTCATTGGAAGAATGTATATGTAGTAGAGCGGAATAATTCTATTTTAAGAGGTCTTTTGGTAATGAAAACTGATGGCTATAGTGATTACAGATTTGAAACCTATGTGAATACTGATGGCTGAAAATAACAAAGGGCAATTACTGAAAAATAATGCAGGGTAGGTTATCATTATTGTGTGCTGCATCCCTCCTCAGTAAAATCTATCCACCTATGAAGTTTCAAGTTGATACCTCAAATACTTTTTGAGAAAAAATTAAAGTATGAAAAAGAACAAAGGGCAATAACTCAAAAATTATAAAAGGTAGAGTTATCATTCTTGTGCAGTGCACACCTCCTGAGTCAGAGATCTATGCACCTATGAAGTTTCATTTTGATATCTCAAAGGCTTTTTGAGTTATGCTCTGGACAAAAATTAATTTTGAAAAATAACAAAGGGCAATAACTCAAAAATGATGCAGGGTAGAGTTATCATTCTTAAGCACTGCACTTCTCCTCAATGAGATCCATCCACCTTTGAAGTTTCAAGTTGATACCTCAAATACTTTTTGAGATAAGCTCTGGACAAAATAGCATGAAAAAAAAGGGCAATAACTCAAAAATTGTATAGGGAAGAGTTATCATTCTTGTGCACAACATTCCTCCTCAATAAGATCTATCCACCTATGACATTTCATGTTGATATCTCAAACACTTTTTGAGTTATGCTCCACTCAGGTGAAAAATTAGGTATGAAAAATAACAAAGGGCAATAACTCAAAAATTATGAAAGGTAGAGTTATCATTCTTGTGCACTGCACACCTCCTGAGTGAGATCTATGCACCTATGAAGTTTCATGTTAATATCTCATAGGCTTTTGGAGTTATGCTCTGGACAAAAATCAATTTTGAAAAATAACAAAGGGCAATAACTCAAAAATCATGCAAGGTAGAGTTATCATTCTTGTGCACTGCACTCCTCCTCAATGAGGTCTATCCACCTATGAAGTTTCAAGTTGATAACTCAATACTTTTAGAGATATGCTCCGGACAAAAATGTCGGACGGAAGGTCGGACGGAGACTATTTCTATATCCTCCGCCGAAATTTTTTGGCGGGGGATAATAAATGGTTCATGAGCAACACACTTTTCCTCATCGAGATCTATCTGCCTATACTGGCTATTAAGTTTCAAGACCCCGACAAGAAAAAAACCAATAGGACAACTGATTCCAGTATACCCTAATTACAACTTTTGTTATTCAGGGCAAATGCAGGAGGTAAAAAATCCCACATGTACAAATGGTCATATCACACCAAACGAAAGTACCAGAAAGAATGAAGTTTTAAACTGCATACATTATTGTATTCACAAGAGTTGGGGATTTCCTAGATGCAGGATTTTGCATCCATATATCCCTACTGGGATGCACATAATGATACCTGTTGTATCAGCATCCTAAAGATTTCTTTCACCGAATTTTTTTACACTTTTGGTCCCCTTTGAAACCATAGAGCTATCTTCTTGGCGACATGACTACCTCCTCAATATTTGGTGTAGAATTTACAAAATATATAAAAATAAAAACACCAGACACTTGATTTTAGCGACATGCACTAGCTCGGAAGTAGCGATAGAGCTATTTACCATATACCATATAGAAAGAGGTAGCTCTATCATTTACCAGGCATGATAAGTGCACCACCATTGCCAAATGATTTCCTTTCACTTTCAAATATTAAAATAAATCTTAGGTAATGTTGTTACAACAAGTGTTAAATGAAGAAAAAAACAAAACGTATTTTGTATGACCAGCATACTCTATAATTTGGAAGAAAGAATTATAAAGACAAGCATAATAGCAATGAAAATGATCATAAGACATATACATTTGTATATTAGGAATATATACTTTAACCTTGTTGAAAGTCATTAAGCCTGCAAAGGCTTATTTTTTCAAAAATTTATGTAATCTGCACATAGTAGTCAGTATGCAATACTTTCCTTGTACTAGATGATTGCAGAGAAGATACTGTAACTCAATTCCACATTGTCTTTCTAACTTATTTGTCCATATAAAGTGTCCAGTACTAAGAGCCTTATGGAACCCAAAATATAAATAATTCCCTGTAACAACAATAAATGGTATGACTGAGATAGAATTTTGAAACTTGTATATTTTTATCAGTTGGTAAAATTTCCTAACATTTAATTATACAGATAGTATCTTTCTTCTCAATATGATGAAAGTGAAAACATTTCTCTGATATGTACTATGTTGTAGCAAAAAGGTATAGCAGTCCTTTAGCAAACTGTATAATTTCACTGCCACCAAGTTTGGACTCCCCATACACTCTATCCACAAATGAGATTGGAACTTCTCCGATTGTGAACCCAAACTGTCGTGCCCGCACGATCATTTCCATTTGAAACACATAACCCTTGGATACACATGCTTTTACAAGCTTTTCCAAGACTTCCTTTCTGTAAAGTCGGAAACTTCCTGTTAAATCCGAGGCCCCAGGTCGTAGTAAAATCTGAGTTACGTAATTTGCCCCTCGGCTGATAATCTTTCTTTTCAGATCCCAACCGTATACACCACCACTTCCGCTGTATCGTGTACCAGATACAATATCAAAGTCTCCATCTTTCTGTTTCTTAATAAATTCTGGGATAAATTTTGGATGATGAGAGAGATCGGCATCCATTATAATGACGAAGTTTCCTGTAGCATGTTTGATCCCATGTATATAAGCTGTCCCTAGTCCAAGTTTTTTCTCTCTTGGTCGAAGAACAATTTTATCCTTGCCATAAATTTTTTGGAGCTCTTTAGCTACATCCAATGTTTTATCAGGGCTTCCATCATCGATGATAATAACCTCATGGTTAACGTCACAGAGGTGTTTCTCTAGAAGCCATACAATTATTGGCAAGTTCTCCCTCTCATTGTATGTTGGGAGTAAAATGGAGTACTTATCTTCAGCCATTACATCTAGAGCATAAGTGTCTTAGGATATTCTGAAAAGGAAAGAAAATAACACAATGATAAACAGAGTTTCAACAAACCTTGTATTGCATCACCAGATGGGTCGAACTAAATTGAGAACGAATGACAATGGAAAAACAACATACTGTACACTAAATGGATTAAAAGAGGTACAGCAACAATTTATATATTGAATACGTTAAAAAATGATCTAAAACAGCATTTTTTAAAAATTCTATTCCTCTATTATCAATAAAAAACAAAAATTATGTTTACATTCAGGATATCTGTTGAGAGTTGTGGTTCTTAGCCGCTACACGTATATCGGTTGAACACCACTAAACATTCGGCATGTTCAACATACTGAACACCACTAAATAAGACTTAGATTTCCATACATTATAATACAATATGGGTAAACTAAAGTACGTAAAATGACGTAATTAATCAAAACAAATGGGTAGTACAAAAGTCTTAATAACGCGAAAGAAAACGTAGTAACGCGAAACAGGGTCATATTTGAAAGACCCTGCGCGAAACGAAATGCATTGTAGCGCGAAACGAAATGTATTATATAACACGAATCGAAAAGACACAACGAATTTAAAAGCGTTATAGTTATAGCATATGAAACGAGACTTCAAGTTTTAAGAATTCTAGCATCTATTTTAGTAACGAACCATACATCAAAACAATATGAATCCAACATGTTTTTAGTACAACGCCTGTAATTGAATGAATATACGTTATTCATAATTGCAAAATAGATAAATACAGAATCCCTAAAGAAAGCCCAACACGAAAAAATTGAAAATGTTGCAGGCTCGGTTTGATTGAGCCTGTTCATGGACGGTACTGGAAAGTGCAAGTTACCGTCCACGCCCCTTAGCACCGGCTTAAGCAGAATTCAACATTTAATCATGAAGTACATGTAGTACAATTTTGAATTTTGATACATCCGCAGATGTGTTCATACGGCGGTTATCATGGAACCTTCAATGTGACACTTCCGTGCCATTCCATGAAAAGCGGCGTATGGTCCCCAAGTAATAAAATGCGTGTGCCCTAAACGAGAAAACAATGGGCGGAACTAATTAAAATGGAGTTTTGAAAGGGGATCTGAGGTTATGAAGCCTGTATATCACAGATAAGACGTCAAAAGACAAATTTAAAAAGCAGGCAACCTATCCTAAGGGTGATTCAACGTTATTCAAGTAGGAATTTAATAATGGAACCACCCAACTAGAAAATGCCGAAAAGTTGAAACCAAAAATACCACAAGCACAACAATAATGTCGTGCCGAACGATCTTCAAGGATCGAAAACTATAACACCATTGATTAAATGTACGGGGAGACTTTTTACAGTCGCCACACGGCACAAATAACCCGGATGTGACCATAAAATAGATAAATACAGAATCCCTAAAGAAAGCCCAACACGACAAAATTGAAAATGTTGCAGGCTCGGTTTGATTGAGCCTGTTCATGGACGGTACTGGAAAGTGCAAGTTAATTACTGTCCACGCCCCTAGCACCGGCTTAAGCAGAATTCAACATTTAAACATGCAAAGCCATGTTTCAATTAAAAATAGCATTTGGGTCACGGGTCATGCAAAGGTATCCGAACCTAAATCCTCGCAAGTCACGTGATGGTTAGCGCAGCAATGGCGGCGAATATTATGAAATGTAAACGTACTGATAAACTTTGGGGCACTGTTTCATTAATCTAACATTTCATGTTCAAAAATAAAAAAAAATGAAGTGTACAAAATATATCTAACTACGTGTATTAAAATAGCTTTTGTATTGATTGAATTACACTATATGACATAAATATGTCACAGTTCTGGTTGACTTTCAATACGGGATTGGCTTCAGCGAACAGGTGTAGCAGTACTATAAAACACATTGTATGTGCACATGCAGTATAGGCGGGATAGAGACGCCGCACATTCTCCGTACAAGGCTGTGGATAACCACCGCGTTCATTCGCCGAGTAACTGCGTTTGTTTTGAGCATGCTTAAAATGCGCGCCGTCGATCGGCGTACGTTGTATGCGATGCCACCACGATGCTTTGACGATGTGGCGGCGATGTTTGCCGTCTTAATTACTGCACTCACATGGACGTTCTGAATTTTCTTTGGACGTCACGAGAGTGACAGGGGTTTAAATGAATACTAAACCACCCGTGACATCATATTTGCTATTGGGAATGCGTGTACCGTTTAATAATTTGCATCGGGTATTTGTTTACGTTTAAAGAAGTTTTAATAGTTAAATGATTCTTCAACAATCAATGCAGGGGTACATTGTCACAATTATAACGACACAAATAAATTAAAAAAGTCACAATAAACAACACAAATACCGATATAAAGTTTTTAGCACTTCTAATTTCTGTTAATCTGTCGTCAGTCTTTAATCCATTCAGGGAGGCGGTAAAAATCAAAGAGTTGGACCTAATTAAACGTTAATTGAATGTTTGCAAACTTAAATTACCCGTCTTTGTAGTTTTACATCAAAGCTATGCACGTGCGTTAAAGATGAAGATCATTAAAATTTAACGTAAAAAAGACGTTATTTTATTAATATTTCGATATCAATCAAATGGTAATGTAACGATTCGCCACACTAACGATTCGACACAGAGTATTAACGTTTCGCCACAATTAAATAACGATTCGCCACGTGTTCAAATACGAACTTTTTCACACCTGTTTTCAAACTGTTGATGGCAAACTTTTTTCCATTCTATATATATATAAGTATTTCATTTGTTAATTACATAAATTAATTATACTAAAAACAGCTTTTACTGAATAAAAACAAATGAAAACCAAATATTTTGTTACCAAAATTACATTACACATTGTAGATAAGTTAAACTTTGTTATTTATGTAAACTGGAAAATTTTACGAAAACAGCTTTTATTGAATAAAGACACATGATAACAAACATATTTTATTACAAAATTTACAAACACAGTGTGAATATGTTAGGGACGAGTTGACTCTTTAAGGACGAGTTGACCAAAAGTAGGGGACGAGTTGACCAAAAAGGTGACGAGTTGACCAGAGGCCGAGTTGACCAGGGGACGAGTTGACCGGATTGCAATAAAAGAGATACTAGAAATGAACGTTATTGCAATTAAAGTAATACACATGCATATCATGCACTTATATCATATGTCTATATTATAGTATAAAATATAGTAAACATTACTATTATGTTAAACATAGTGTAATTCAACTTGTTGAATTGATATAAAAAAAGAATATTATGAATATCCTATAGCCTTGTTATATAAACTTCCACTTTCTCATAGAACTACTATTGCTTAAAATTAAATATTCCGGTAGTCTCAAAATATGAATGTGTGATAACGGCGATTTTTATTATTTTGTACTTTTTATGTACATATGTATTATGATTATGTACTAGAATAAATTTGTTCTGTACGTTCTGCTCACATCAACTTTATTTGTTGGTGCAGTTCATTTTATATTCTTCTCTAAGGGCATAACATCAAAGGTTGGGCTAGAACAAAAAATGTTGTATTTCATTGTTCTTTCCAGTTACCGTAATTTTCAAAAGATGTTCACAATTGGTATTTCGAATTTGTCATTTAATAATGAGCATTTCACAATTACTATGACATAATATATTTCGATAGTATGTCTATATTTAGAAATGATACGATTAAATTTTAGTGCAATAGACCCGCTTATTTTTCACGAAATGAACTTGTAAATTATATTATTTCGTAAATCAACTTATTGTGTTTTTCTAAAAACTAGTTCAGCCTAACATAAAGAGAAAGATCACGTATTTTCCGATTCTTTGCAATTGTAAGTACACATGTTCCACTAAATGGCATTATAATTATAATTGAAGTTAAACTGGAAACTTGACACTACTGTATTGTAATTTTAGCACGTTTCTCTGTCAATCGAACATTAAATATTGAGTATAATAATTATTGTTTATCATTTTTTTCAGCTTCCGAGAATATGAATCAAAACATGGTACAGGTCAAGCGTTACGTGACAAATTGTAATACAATCGTTACATGAAGGGGCATATAAAGAATAAAGATAAATACATGCATGCATAATGTTCCTGGTAACAACTTGTTTGAGTCACTTTGTATTTTAATGATCATCCTTTAGAATATTTCTTACTTTCCTACGTAAATATATTCATGACTTGGTTTTAAATGTTTATTTAATGATAAAATAGAACAGAGGAGAATGATCAAATATGTATTTTCATAATCTTTCTTTGTTTCACACGTATGTCGTGCATCATTTGAAGTAGATGTTTTAGTAACTTATATCATTTGATAGTTTCATTACATGGCTACAGTAAATAAACAACATTATCTGTTTACAAACAATGCAGGATAAAATTCATTTTCATTAAATTTAACAGAGGCGGAAAAGAATTGAGACGTAATTTAAATATACGAATGATCTCGGAAAGGCTTGTCAAGCCTCGTGAGCGTTATTAAAATTCTAGAATTCAAATTTCAGCCTAATGAAGATTAAAATAGTGTGACTTCATTTATATTTTTTTACTTCTTTTCATCTTATTTTGATAACATTTGTCGAAGCTTAAGACCGGTAACTATAAAGCTTTATAAAACATCGTATAACCATGTCATTTGTGAATTTAATAAAGGTTGATAAAAATTGTGACGCTTTGAAATGTACTCAACAGACTAAATGTAACACCCTTGATACGCTGTTAAAAGAGTTATTCTACGTCATCTGAACCATTGTTGGAGTGTAGTATTATAGTCTATAGTATTATAGATAAGCGGAAAAGGTTTATTTAGTTCGTTTAAACAATACTAAACTAGCTTTGCAAATGTAAATATGTCATTAGTTAATCATACCAAATACAGTCATATTTTAACTGTTGGATTATATTTATATATGTGATATTAGATACTTCTTCCATAAACTACACCAGAAATGAAGAATGTGCACTGTAACAAGACTGACAGGACTTTTTTGGGGATAGATATTCATGTAAGTATATACATGCAATTAAATTTATTGTAATTTTTTTAAAAAGTTTTTCCGTATAAAGAATTGATAGTTGTAATTGATTGATTTACACAATTAAATAGAACATTGCTTACTAATGGACAGATAGATACACAATAACTGTTTGATTTTGCTTTACTCCTAATTCGTACTATATTTTCTAGATAGATTTAAAGTCGATTTACTAATTTTTACAATCCAATTGGACAAAAAAGACTTTAAATTTTCAAATAGGTGTATACATTTACATACATTAAATATTGCATATTAATTCATATATTGTCGTTAACTCTATGCATTTGCATTAAAA